GTAGTGCCCCGCATGTACGTCGTTCCTGGAGGAGGAGGCTTCACTGGTGGCGGGGTCGATGCCACCGGAGTATTGATCGCTGCCTGCTGAACCGCTGGAGGCACGGCTGCTGCCGCCGCTGCTGCTGCCGCCTGGGAGTTGAACGATCGGTCGACCACCATGGGATATGGGCCAGTGTACCCCGGAGGTGGCTCTGGAGGCAAGGGCGGCTGAGGCCCTGGCTGGCCCGGCCGGGTCGGATGGCCCGCTGCCTGACCACTCCCTGAGGACGATGCGCCTCCGGTGGGTGGCCCGCGGTCTGCCTGATCCACCTCTGCCTGGGCCTGCGCCTGCCTCGCCGCCGCCTCCAGGGCGTCGCTCTCGGCCGCCGCGGCGGCCATCTCCTCCGCCGAGGGCTCGTCCCAAACGTAGCCGTCCGAGTCGGGTTCTCCAGGAGCCCTCTCCCCGTTGAGGCGAGACTGGCGTGCTCGTAGGAACGCCTGAGTGGCGCCCCACGCTCCCTGGTTTCCCTTGCTCGACGTCCCGCATTCTCCTTTCTTCTTTCCTCCGAGCACGGGATGCACGGCCAACCACGCCAGGAGCAGCCCTCCGAGGACCATCGAGTCTGGACAGGCGCTGTTGCTGGACCGAAAGAAATTCGTGAACTGAGAAAGCTAACACCAGCAAGGCTAGACTTGAGCCGAGGTGGACTACGGAAGAGACAACTGCCGCCACTGTCATCACGGAGACAGTCAGTTCAGTCCATTCTCTTGGGCTCTCAAGAACCCTTCCTCTCGAAGACCTCCTCGGCCTCTGCACCTTAGCTTGACCATCGGATCCTAAGACCTGACTCGGGCCCTGCTGAGCCCACGACTGGAGGAGCTCCCTCGATTGGTCGTCCTGGTGCTCCGATTGGACGTCGACCCGATTCCTGGAGTGGACGATCGAACTGGTGCTCTGAGTCCTGGGCCTGGATGTTCTCCGAGTCCTGGTCCTGGCCCTTGAGCTTCCCCTCGTGACCCGCAGCAGCAGCATGAGCAGCAAGACGATGGCGATGAGGATAGGAATGTAGCCGGTCACCACACCAATGTCCGACATCTCTGGGAACTGTCCTGCAGCAGTCTGAAACGAATCAGCACGCAGAAAAGGGTACCTCTTGATCGCAGCTGCTGGTGCCACTGCCTCTTGGTCGAGAGGCCCCACGATCTCCACGAGGCGATGACCTGAATTGAGACGGCAAAGGGGCGCCTTCTGACCTAGGCGCCCAAGTTGCATGCTGTTCCTGGGCAGATCGATGACGGCCTCGAGAAACTCCAGAAGATTCACGCTGAGAATATGCGGAACATTGTCCGCCAGCACTGTAGTCTCTATGATGCCGAAAGTCCGGCCTAAGCACAGCGGAAAGAGAATAACATTGATCACGCGCGCGGCTCCACCGACGCCGTGGGCCGCCTTGAGCGGACGGTCGGCCTGAGGTATCTCGACGTACCTCAACCCAAGCTCCGCCAGGGCTCGAGACTCTCGGTTGAGTGCTCCGACTCCCACGAGGTCGCTGCCGGCACCTGGGTCGACGAGCCCCTGGGTGGCGGACGTGGTGAGGAGAACCGCGCTCGACTCGATCTCCAGCTGCGCCTGCTCCCAGGCTGGGAGGCTGCCCGCGCCCGTCTCCACCGTCGCCACGAACTCGGAGCCGCCGACCTCGCCAACGATGCCCGAGAACATGTACGCGGATGCCCCTCGGCCGTGATCCTTCACAGCTCGGCGATCCTTGGGTCCGTCCTTCTCTGGGCACTCCCGATGCCAGTGGCCCTTCTGCTTGCAGATGCCGCAGCGTGTCACCTTGATCAGCTGCTCCCTCGTGAGACGCCGCCGATCGAACCCGCGACCACCACGACCGCGTCCGCCTCGACCGCCGGCGCCGTCTCCACGGCCCCCGCCGCGTCCTGGACGACCTGCCGGATGTGCCCGAGGAGGCCGAGGCGCCCGGGAGTCAGGCCGAAAGTACTCCCTGTCCTGACGAGCAGCACGCTTCAGCTCCTTGTTCTGCTTCCATGTCCTGGTGTTCTTGGCCTCGAGCGTCGCCAGCACCTCGCCCACCTGATCCTCGGACACGTCGAGATCGTCGAGCTCGGCCAGCAGAGCCTCGATGTCCTCCTCGTCCGAGGCCTCCTCCTCATCGTCATCATCGTAGAAGGTCTCCTCGTCCTCTGCCGGGAAGTCGCCAGTACCCTCTGACCGAACCTGCGACCACGGGGGAGGAGGAGAGAGGAGGGGGGACTGAACACCAGGCGACGTCTCGCTAGCGCCTAGGCCCTCAGAAGCCGTCGTGTCAGCCAACATCGCCCCGGCGCCACGCCCTGGGAGCAGACGCTCTGTGCCGCCCGAGTCCATCTGCTTGAGCGCCCACGAGACATTCTCGTAGTCCAGCTTCCCAAGGGTGAGCGTCCTCAAGTTCTGGAGCCCCTGGGCGGACAGACAGGCGCCTTCCTCCAAGAGCAGACCCTTCAGCTTGGGCGACATCCATAGATCGTGTCCGTCCGCCTCTTGCAGCTGAACGTCGCGGCGGATGACGAACTGGATCAGCGACTCCTTCGCCTCGCGATTGGCCTCGAAGAAGGCTCGACGGCCCGCACGGCGAAGGTCATCTCCCTCACGCTCGCCCGCCATGGTGTCCATGCGGCCGAGCACGATGTCGATCCATCCGTCGTCGGTCAGACGATGCTCCTGTATGTCCTCGAACTTAGCCTGGAAGGCCCAGTCGAACAGACGAAGGAACTTCTCGGAGCGACGCCAGACGGGCACGTCGGTGTTCGCATTCCAACGTCTGAGCGACTTCTTCCATGCTCTGAAGTGTGCCCATCCTGGCCATGCCGGTGGGTCTGAGTAGTCTCCCTTGGACCAGGCGCCGCCTCCTCCTGCCCAGCTGCCGGGCCATGCGGCCAGCTCGGGTCGGGACCCGGTCCCGCGGGTCCAGGCGGTGTCGTGAGACCAGCCTGAGTCCTTCTGCCAGCTGTCCTTCTGATCGGGCTGCCGATCCTCCCAGCTGGTCCTCGAGTCGGCCTGCCACCACCGACTCTGCCAACTCTCTCCGCCACTGGCTGTCCACGGATCCGAGTTCTGCCACGGATCCTCGCCCTTCTCGTCCGGTTTGCTCTTCTCGTCCGGCTTGCCAGCGGCCGCGGAGCTGGACGCCGCTGCAGCACTCGAGCTCCTGGACTGCTCCTGCATCGCCGCCCTGACGATGTCCCCGATGAGTCCTCTGAGCTCGCCCCTAGTTACTGCAGCCTCGTCCGTCCCCGCACTCACGTGTAGGTTGGCCCCCTTCTCTGTATCTTCATCCTCGACGCCCGTCATGGCGTCCACCGTGGATCTCCACGCGTCGCAGTCGGCCGAGCGCAGCGACCGCTCGGGAGCACGCGAACGCCGGCCGGTCACGCCTCTCGGACGTGGACCTGGCTCGCGCCCATGGCACCCCGAGCGACTCCGCGCTCCGCTACCAACTGTGGCAGCACAGGATTGGATGAACGTTTTTGGGCTTGAGCCAGAGAGGGTAACAGTACACCGAGCACACACTGCAACTCGGTAGGACGATCAAGGTAAAGATCTCAAATGCTAAACCTAATACGTAAATTCTGGAGATCAGTCACAGAGGGCAGGGCTGGACCTCAACGTTGCTTTTCGTTTTGCTGCCGTTTTCTTGTTCGCTCTGCTCTGCCTGTTTTCCTGTACCCCCCTCCCGAAACGAGAAACAAAACCACAAAACACAGCCAAGGTCCAGCAAAACAGCGTTTGGGTCCAGCCCTGGGCGAGGGAACAGGCGCCAGGGAGGATAACGTGAGGGGGCCCTGGGACACACAAATAAATAAACACAAATCACAGGATTCCCAAAATTTTCCTATACTTTCTGGGTTTTCGTCTGCCCCCCCACTTCCCATATTGTCCCATATTTTCTGGGGGATCGACGATTAGTCGTGTCTGTGTGTGCTTTTCCCCCTCCTTAAAACGGAAGACCCGAGAGCAGCGTGGAGAGGAGCAGATCTGCCATCGGTTCTGCCTTGATTTCCGGCCCCGGGGACCCTCACGGAGCGATCCGACTCGAAAAATGCTGCAGAAAGATGGGGGAGACGGCTCCAACACGTACCCTGACGTCCCCGCGTCATACGAAAATCGTCACGGTCAATGTTTCCCTGTTTTAGGCCTCCGGCCCTCGCTGGGCCCTGGGGTCGTCAAGAAAACGACTCGGGATGGAAATTGAGCAGCAGGGCATTGGTCGAGACCGCTGGGGGCCGACGTGGTGAACAAAGATCACGACGCCAGGGGTCTGGGTACCCAGATCCCCTGCGATCCCTTCCCCAGGGCCGGTTTGCCATCCGGCGCTGTTCTTCGACGGTCCCGGGGCCCAGCGAGGGCCCCCAAAGAGGCCGAGAACGGCCACAAAGAAAAAGCCCGTCGCGACTCCTTGCTACGAGGCACCCGCGACGCCCCGCCCCAGCCCTGAGATCCGACGTCGCGAGAGAGTTACGACCTCGTGGAACAGCACAACCAGAGCTCCAGACTCGACCTGCCTGCAGCACTTCTCGAGCCCGATCGCTCGGAGGGCCCCCGGAGGCGGAGGCGGGGCGACAGCGCCCCGCGGTGGCACGAATGGCAACGCCAGGACCCCGACTTGCGCCGCCCTGCTTGAAGGGGCCCTGGGACACACAAATAAATACGCACAGATAACCAGATTCCCCCTATTTTTCCATATTTTCTGGGCTTCTGTCTTCCCCCCCACTTCCCATATTTTCCCATATTTTCCCCTGGGAATCGACGATCAATTGTGTCTGTGTGTTTTTTCCCCTCCTGACTGTTCTTTTTCCGCACGCGGTCCCTGGAAGGAGTCCCAGCCCGTTCCCCAGGATAAGTTTTTCATCCTGAGTCGTTTGTCGGCGGTCTCCGGGCCTGGCGGGGGCTCCCAGAGGCCGAAGACGAAGAACGACCTTCCGCCCCGGTGTTCTACGACGCGAGCGCGTCTGGGGATCCCAGGTGTCCGCCCCAAACCCCCCTCGCCGGGCGCCGCCGAGCTGGGCAGCCACTCCTCTGGAGGAGACAGAAATGGGGACCCTGACCAAGACTGAACGCGGGAACGTCGCGGCAATCTAGGTCACCGTCCATCCTGGTCAGCGACAGTTCGTAGACCATCCCCGGCTACACGTAAGAGTGACCCTGGGTAAGGATTACGGGGGCGCAAAGTGGCCAAACCCAAGCGCGCAAGCAGCCGCTATAGCATCGCGCTCGGCGATCGGGGGGGGCCCCCGTGAGCCCGCACCAAAGGTCACTCCGTCGAAGGGCCACTCTTACGCGTAATCGACGACGTCCTCGCGGATCGGCGACGGCCGGCGTGGGCCATGACCAAGATCGGCGTCGACAAAATCCCGTGACATCTGGGTCAAGGATATCGTGCTTCTCCCATCCACCCGGGATCACACTGGCCCCGGGTCAGCAAAGAGCCGCGCCGGCCAGGAACCCGTCGCGAAGCCTGGCCAGCCGCTCAGCAGCTCCCAAACCAGGGTCCGCGGAGGGCGGAAATGGGGAATTTGCGCCGCCAGAATACGTCCGTCTCCACTGCCGCGGGGTCGGGTCCCAGGGATCTCGGGGAGCGGTGGGTATGGATACCTGCCCGCCCATGCGGGCGGGCAGATAGCCATATCCATCACTCCTCGAGATCTCTGGGACACGACTCCGGAGCGGTGGATGTGTGGACAGACTCTTGAAGGGGCCCTGGGACACACAAATAGATACACAAAAAACAGGATTCCCCCTCTTTTCAAATATTTTCTGGTTTCTGTCTTTCCCCCCACTTCCCATAGTTTCCCATATTTTCTGGGGGATCGACGATTAGTTGTGTGTGTGTGTGTTTTCTCCCCTCCTGAAAATATTCTGGCGGTGGAGGAGTCGGCCCCGCGTGGCTCCCAAACCCGCGTCAGCCAGAGGGGGCTGGCTGACCCCTCGAGATCCGACGTCGCGACAAAAAGGCACCTTCGCGAAAAATCACGACTGGAGCCATCCTCCTCATCTTCCTCCCCCTCCTCCTCGCCTCCTCCTCCTCCTCCTCCTCCTCCTCCTCCTCCTCCTCCTCCTGCTCCTCCTCATCTTCCACGGCCTCCGTCTCCGCCCACTTCGTCGCCGACGTCGTGGTCCTCTTCACGGTCGGCAGCACCGGCCGTCAGGCCTTCGCAATCACAACTGGAGCCAGAGACGTTCGATTTCTGCGTCAGTTTGCGAGCCGGATCGATCTGCGAGGGTCCCGGGGCCCGAATACGGGCGAAAGCGCCCGGTTTGGAAGGACGAAAACGCCTGGATCTCAGGGACGTGCCCCCGTTACGTGCCCAGACATTTTTGTTGATCCGCGGGTCGAAAGCGCACCTCTTCCGGTCGAAGCTAAGCGGGCCGCGCGAGGCTTGAATTAACAAAGAGGGGGAGGAGGGTGGGGGAGCGCAGCCTCAGGGCGAGGCCGGGAGGAGGCAAAGCCTCGGGATCAGGCGGTGCCGAAATAGACGTGCTTCAAAAGTGCGCCTTGTCCAGGAACCCGGTGGCGAAGTACCGGTAGAAGTTACGTGCCCAGACATGCGACGTGCTGATTTTGTTCGGGACGCGGCCCCCGAAGTCCGAGAAGTCCCGGCCCATTCCTCAGGGCAGGTGCTTCATCCCGAGTCGTTCTTTGCCAGCCTCGAGGCCCATCCCAGGGCCTCCAGAGGACGAAAACTCTACCCAAAACCTGCGCCTGATTTTGTTCACGACGCGAGCACGTCTGGGTGAGCCCCGATCTGAGAGGCAACGATGAGGGGGCCTGGCACAGGGGTGGGGGAACATCGACGTGGAATCAACGATACGTCGCCGATTGATCGGCGGCAGGCCCCCGCTAGCGAATACGCACGCTCCTGTGTGGGGTGGGGCGACCCCTTCCGGCGATCGGTGGGCGATTGGGAGATCGATACACCTCCCCTATGCCTATCCCCCCCTGACGCTGTCCCTGGCTTGGCTTTCGGGTCAAAACTCGGCTCTCCAGCGGCCGCGCAGGACGATCCAGACACCCCTGGAACGCTCTCGGCGAGGCGCGGCCGCTGAAGGCGCCCCGAGGCTGACAGACCGACGAGAACCTGCGAGGACGTCCGAAGGCCTCGAGCCTCGAAAACCCAGAGCCTCGAACCTCGAACCCAACGCTGCCCCTGACGATCGATCCTCGAACCTCGAACCTCGAGCCTCCATTCTCGAAACCCTCGATCCTCGAAAACCTCTCGCCTCGAAAGCCTCGAAAGCCTCGAGCCTCGAAAACCTCGAAACCTCGAAAACCTCGACGACCTTGAAAACCTCGGACGAACTCCAAAGCCTCGAAACTCTCGAAAAAATCTCGACCACCTCGACGACCTCGCAAACCTCGAGAACCTGGCGCCTGAACGTTGCCCCTGACTCGGAGGCGGCCAAGAGGGGGGTGCCCAAGAGGGGGGGGTGCGAATCATGACCGGCGGCATGTGCGCGGCCCAGCGGCGAGACCAGGGACGTAAGGAACTAAGAAGAGGCGCCATGAGATCTGGGGAAATATCATGGCCCCCGCCATGATATCCACCCCCCCTAGTTTTAGGTCGGGAATGACCCCCTACAGGCGGATCTTGGACGAAAGATTTAAAAAATACCCCAAGAAAACTCCCAAATTATCAACAAATACTTCAGAAATCGTCCCTGGACTGTCGTCACCCCCCTCTTTTCCGCCCCCGACTCTTGGACGCCCGAAATGGGTACCGAAAGAATGGGTACAATCCCAACAGCAAATGTTGTCCCAAACCAACAGCGGCCGCTGTTGGGCAGGCGGCCTCCTGTCTCGAATGGACACAGGCCGCGGCGGCGTGGACAGCGAGCCCTGTTCAGAATGAACAAGATCCGCTGTTGGGCATTGTACCCATTCTTTCAATACCCATTTAGTGCGTGCAGACGACTGACGATCGGTCCTGGCCCCCGGGCGGCCGGTCGGCCAGGCACAGCAGCGCCTCCCGCGGGCGCCCGCCGGGGCAGCCGCACAGCGCGGCCAGGGCGGCGGCGAGGCGGGCCTCGCCTGCGGGAGGGGCGGCGGCCGCACACCGCGGGGGCACGGGCGGCGCGCAGCCAAAGAGACCCCCGAAGAGGAGGAGGAGGAGGAGGAGGAGAAGAAGGAGAAGGAGGAGGAGGGGGAGGAGAAGGAGGAGGAGGAGAAGAGGAAGAAGAAGGCGGAGGAGGGGGAGGAGGAGGCCACCAAAGCCAAAGGTGAGGGAAACGACCGCCAAAGAAGAAGAAGAAGAAGAAGAAGACGTCCACCGAATAACGATAACAGAAATAATGATAACAATAATCATACTACGAATACGAATACTAATAATAATAATACTAATAATAATAATAATAATAATAATAATCATCATCATCATCATCATCATAATCAGCATCATCATCATCATCATCATCTTCATCATCATCATCATCATCATCATCATCATCATCATCATCATCATCATCATCATCATCACCATCATCATCATCATCATCATCATCATCATCATCACCATCATCATCATCATCATCATCATCATCATCATCATCATCATCATCATCATCATCATCATCATCATCATCATTATCATAATGTTCATCATCATAATAAGAATGATAATACTAATGATAATAAGAATAATAATGATGATGAAAACAATAATAGTAGTAGTAGTAATAATAATAAACATATTACTAATAATGAGAATAATAATAATAATAATAATAATAATAATGATAATCAGAATAAGAATAATAAGAATAAGGAGAAGAATATGATGATGATGATGATGAAGAAGAAGAAAGAGAAGAAAAAGAAGAAGAAGAAGAAGAAGAAGACCCCAAAGACGAGGAAGAAGAAGATGAAGAAGAAGAAAAAGATCCGCTGGCCTTCCATCGCTTTCCCCCTCTTGGGCCCCCTGGGAGGCCCTCGTCGCCACCGCTGGATTCGCCTCGAAATCCTGGTCGGAGTGGCGGCATCGGTGCCTGCGACCCGCCAGCAGCCGCCCCGTCCCCAGAAAGCCTCGCGTCGTCCCCCTGCCGGCCCTCGCCAGACCCCCGGGGCCGTCAGAACACGGCTCGGGAGGGATAACCAGCCCCAGGAACGTCCAGGGACCGCGCATTGAGAGTAGGACGTCGCATGTCTGGGGGACGAGGAAGAAGAAGAAGAAGAAGGAGGAGAAGAAGAAGAAGAAGAAGAAGAAGAAGAAGACTGGTTTCTTCCCTGCACTCCTCGACGCATGGGTTACGCAAGTGCGTTCGGAGCCCGAGCGAAGAGAGACACGGTAAGAAGAGCATGTATCTGCACCGGCTTGTTTACTGCTGTATGCAGCTCTTGGCACGCAGTCACGAGGCCTCTCTGCCTCAGCGCCTTCATGCAGCGGATAGGCTGCCAACTGAGCGACGAAAAGAAACGGGTCTTACGCACGATGATTTAGCAACCTTACGCGGCGACTTGACACGGGAAACGAAAGAATTTTCGCGCCACCTTACGCGGGCATCTTACGCGTGAATGTTGGCGCAACCGGCCCCGTTTTCTTACGTGGCTCAACTGTGCATAGGGCACCCGCTAAACGCAGCCAGCCCAAACCTCCTCGCGTGGTGCGAAATCGGGACGGAGGTTGTTCATTGTTTCGGCCTCTGGGAGCCCTCGCCAAATCCCAGGACCGTCAAAAAACGGCCCAGGATGAAGAACTAGTTCCGGGTGATGGGTCGAGACCTCTGAGGGCTGATGTCATGAGAAGATTGTGACGTGCCTCGTTCTGGGCCTCAGGACCCTCACGGATCGATCTGGCTCGGAAAACACAGCAGAAAGGTGGGGTCCAGGGCTCCAGTCGAGTTTCCTACGATGTTGCAAATGTTCATGCTGCAACTTTTCGCGACGCCGGATCTCAAGATTGATGCGCGGCTTCAGGGTCGGTGGTCAGGGGGCGCGACGGAAGGTGTTTGGCCGTTCTCAGCCTCTGGGAGCCCTCGCTGGGCCTCGGGGACGTCAAAACGACCCAGGATGAAAAGCTGGTCCCAGGGGAAGGGTCGGGACTTCCAGGGGCCCCGCACTGAAAAAAACTCAAGACATCGGATGTCTGGGTGGGCAAGAGTGCCCTCTGTCGGCGGCGAACCCAGGGGGGAAGTAAGAGGGGGCCGGCCTCCTCAGAAGGCTCGGAATTCCTCTGGCCTGAGCCTTCCCCGAAAACACAGGAAACCTCTCAGAAGGCCAGAGGATTCTGACAAGCCCCACCGCCTTCTGAGAAGGCCTTCTCCTTCTCGCTTCCGCCCGGGCGCGCCACCGGATTTAGTTTTGGGGTCATACCTCGGGTCTCTGGAGGCCATTTGGGACGATCCCGGCACCCCCAGAACGCTCCCAGCGAGACGCAGCCGCTGGGACGCATCCCGAAGCCGACAAGCCGCCGAGGACCCACGAAGACGCCCGAAAACCTTGAACCTCGAACCCGAAACTTCCCCCCGCCCCCCTCGCTCGCCGCCGAGAAAGAGGGGCGGGGCCGGCTCAGCCGAGGGGGGCCATCGGCCTGGAATGGATGAAGGGGCCCTGGGACACACAAATAAATACACACAAATAAAAATATTCCCCATATTTTCCCATATTTTCTGGGCTTTTGTCTTCCCCACCACTTCCCATATTTTCGCATACTTTCCTGGGAGTCGACGATGAATTGTGCCTCTGTGTGCTTTTTCCTCTCCTGGAATGGACGCTCCCCCTCGCTCGCCGCCGACCCTGGCGCGTGGGCTTCAGGGGGCCGCGAGGGACCAGGCCCAAGCGCCGAGGCCGGAGCTCGCGGGGGAATCGGCGCGCTCGCACCAGAGACGTCGAGGCCCACGCGCTGCCGGAGGCCCGACCCAGGCCAGGCCCCAATCCCCCAGACCCAGATTTTCCCCCTATTCTCTGGACTTTTGTCTTCCCCCCCACATCCCATATTTCCCCTATTTTTCCTGGGGAATCGACGATTCATTGTGCCTGTGTGCTTCTTCTCCTCCTGAGAATCGGCGCGCTCGCACCAGAGACGTCGCTCCAGCGGGAGGCCCACGCGCTGCCGGAGGCCCGACCCAGGCCAGGCCCCAACCCCCAGACCCAGATTTCCCCCCTCGGGCCGTCAAGATGGCACGACGGAAGGTCCTTCGGCCTCCCAGGGGGGGCCCTCGGTCGGGCCTCGGGGCCGTCGAGCAGCGGCCCGGGCTGAGCAAGCAGTTCCCCGGGGAATGGGCGTAAAAAAACTCGTGGGTGCCGACCTCATGAAAAAATCCTGGCGTGGCGTCTGGGGACATCTTCCGATTCCGTCCACGGCCCCGAGGAGGTCCCAACCGCTTCCCTGGGGGTAGTGGTGCGTCCCGGATCCTTTTTGGATAATCCTAGGGCCCAGAACAGTCAACCCGTATAATAAGGATGCGCGGTAAAGGATGCAAGGGCCTTGGAGGGCCACGCTAAATGCCTTTCGACGAGCGAAGTTGGCCAGCGAAAACTACCAAAGATGGGCCGAAGGGATAAGGATACAAGGGTAGCCCTGGGAGGGTTGCCCATTTTTTGCAGTGCGGGCTGACTGTCTACCCGCGTCCGAGGACCGAAGCCAAAGAAAACCAAAATTCGCACCGCCGGGGATCGGGGCATGGGCCTACAATCGGCGCACACGCCCTCCCGAGCTCGGCCAGGGAGGCGTCGTGCACCAGTCCTGGGCCCGGGGACGGCCCGGCCAGGCATCGCTAGGCACGGTTAGCGTCCCGCGCTGGCCGGTGCCGACGTAGACCACGTCCGCCCCCAGGATGACGTCGCAGCTGCCGACGTCCACCTCCGGGGGGGGGCTCAGGCTGTCCTCCCAGTCCCACAGCACTGCCTGCACCTGGCTCTCCAGGCCGCTCGCCCTCAGGTTGAACTCTAGGTTGGACACGACCTCTGGAGGAAGAGAAAGCAGCATCAGCACAAACTTTCGGAGCTTCGCGCGGGATTTTTCGGATCGGCGCTGGATCCCCCCCCCTCCCCCTTGCACGCGGGGTGCGGCGCCAGAGGCGCCGCCAGGGGGGCTCAGGGCCGATCCAAGAAATCCGCGCGGACCTCCAAAAGAGAATGTTTATCGGTTTAAATGCTCGTTTGGGGGACCTTCTTGGAGCACCCGCTCCGCTAATACGTCGAAGCTGCGTCGAACGTGCGTCGGCTCGAGCCCAACCCGAGCCGACCCTGAGTCGAACCTGAGTCGAACCTGAGTCGAATTTGAGTCGAGCTTGGGTCGACCTTGAGGCGAACTGGAGTCGAGCGGATCCGTGGGGTGGGCCCCAGGAATGCCCCCGACACAAGCACCGAGACCGGCCGTACCCCGAAGGGGTCGGCGCCAGCCGCGAAACCCTTCCAAGAAGGCCCCATGCCTTCTAAGAAGCCCCCCCACCCTCCTCCTCCTCCTCCTCCTCCTCCTCCTCCTCCTCCTCCTCCTCCTCCTCCTCCTCCTCCTCCTCCCCTCCTCATCCTCCCTCCTTCTCCTCCTCCTCCTTCTCCTCATCCTCCTCCTCCTCCTCCTCCGCCTCCTCCTCCTCCTCCTCCTCCTCCTCCCCCGCCTCCTCCTCCTCCTCAGAAGGCCGCACCACTCGCGCCACCCCCTTCCCTGAGATCCTGGCGCTGCAATTGTTTCACGGCGCGGGCGTCTTCGCTCCATTTTTCGTGCCTCAGGGACCCTCACGGATCGATCCGGCTCGAAAAACGGCGCAGAAAGATCGGCGGTGGACGAACCTCCCTTTAGTAAACCTCTCCTTAGTGAAAACGGCGGACATGGACCCGCACAAATGACGGCCGCGACGGCCTATCGCGAACCCAAAACGGCCAATGCCTTAATCGACGTGTCAGGGTAGGAGGTCTATCAACCTCCGAAAAGATAGGGTCCGGGGCTGCGGTCGTGACTTTTTTCCCGATGTTGCAAATGTGTGTTCTGCAACATCGGATCTCAGGGTATGGAGCGCCGCGAAGTTCATGCCGTCACTTCCTCCTCGGAGTCCCCGCTGGTGGAACCTCTCCTGGGGCGCGTTCTGACCAGAATCTCGAAGCAAATCCAGCCGTGGCGACGACGGCTCACCAAGGGGCCCAAGAGGGCGAGAACGAGGAGCCCTGAGCTCCGACACCGAATAAAACCTAGCAAAAAGCACGACCAGAGCCCTAAACCCTTTTCTACGCCATTGTCCGAACCGGATCGCTCTGTGAGGGCGCCGGGGCCCGAAACCAAGCGAAGACACCCGGCTCAAAAAATGAAGACGCTTGGATCGGAGGGAGCGGCTTGCGGTATCCCAGACCCCCGACGTCGTGATTTCGCCCATGACGTGACCCTCAGAATTCTGGACCCCCTCCCGGGGACCGGTCTTTCATCCTGAGTCGCTTGCTGACGCTCCCGAGGCCCGGTGAGGGCCCCTGGAGGCCGAAAGCAGCGAGAAACCACCCGTCGTGCTTTTTTCACAGCGCGAGGGGGTCTGGGATTCCTCCTCCTCCTCCTCCTCCTCCTCCTCCTCCTCCACCTCCTCCTCCTCCTCCTCCTCCTCCTCCTCCTCCTCCTCCTCCGCCCTCCGCCTCCGCCTCCGCCTCCGCCTCCTCCTCCTCCTCCTCCTCCTCCTCCACTCCGCCTCCTCCATCCTCTCCTCCTCCTCCTCCTCCTCCTCCATCCCTCCTCCTCCTCCTCCTCCTCCTCCTCCTCCTCCTCCTCCTCCTCCTCCTCCTCCTCCTCCTCCTCCTCCTCCTCCTCCTCCTCCTCCTCCTCCGCACCTCGGGGTCCCCGTCGGTGGCGAACACGCGGGCGGCGCCCAGCCCGCCCGCCTCGGCCGCGAGGCCGATCGAGAGGTGCCCCGTGCCCGCGCCGAGCTCCAGGACGGTCGCGCCCCGCAGGCGGGGGGCCAGCGCCGAGGTCGCGAGCCACCGGAGCAGGACCCTGCTCGAGGCTGCCCTTATGATGTTCCATGGCTACTCCAGCCCTGACCACCAGAAAAAATCTCGAGCACCAAGAAACTACCGAAGCTGGATGGAGGGTTTTCACGTGTCGGGTCCTGGGAGGCGATACTCCTTCGACGCTGTTTCCATGCTTCTCTGGGTGCTCAAGATTATGTTTGGGATGTGGTCCTTAAGTACGATGGGAACAACATAAGGCCAATTACCCTTAGGTCGGGCATTTCCTCCCACAGGCGCATTTTGGAAGAAACACTAAAAATAGTCACACACACACAAAGAAAAACGGTCCAAAGAACACGAAAGATCGTCCCCTGACTGTTTTTTTAACTATTCTGGAATATTCCTCCTGTAGGGGGACATGCCCGACTTAAGGCTACCCAGGCATGCTCGTGCCGTGAAAAATCGAGGCGGAGGTTTTGGATAGCTCTTGTCCTCTGGGGGCCCTTCCTGGATCTCGGGACCGTCCAAAAACGACTCGGGATGAAAGATCAATACACGTGAATGCGGGACTTCCAGGCACAGAGGCTTCGGGTAATTTTCGTCCTCTGGGGGCCCCTTCCGGGCCTCGGGACCGTCAAAAAACGAGTCGGATGAAAAACGAAGTCCCAGTGAATGGGTCGGGACGTCTGGGGACAGCGTCCTGAAAAAGTCAGGACCTCGCACGTCTGGGTCTAGGGCGGCGCGATGTGTGCAGATCTCCCGCCGCTGGCCAGGCCCGCCCTGACCCCCAGAGCGGCGTGTTCTTTATATGCCTTCCTTCCTGGCCAAGCCAGGGGGCGAGTGCACCGGATCTGGGCTCAGGATGGGCCTGACCAGCAGCGGTGGACATGCACGGATCTCGTCGCCCTGTGAGGGTGAACGTCGGAGTGGGGCCGGCTCAGCAGGGGGAGGAGGGCATCGACCTGGAATCGGCAGTACCTCGCCGATGGATCGGCGAGGAGCCCCCCGCAGCGCAGCCGCACGCTCCTGGGCGGGAGAGGGCCCTCGGGCCCACGTCGGCGAGGCACGGGGCGACTTGTTGGAGGCGGCCAGGGGGGCTGAACTGGGTGGGCCCAGTTCAAACAGATGCCAAGAAGGGGGGATGATACAGGGCTGAACCTAAACGGTGTTGTTCGTTTTCGTTCTGTGTTCGTTTTCCCTCATGTTGTCTTCAATCCACCTCTACCGCAAAGCGAAGTCGAAACGAAAACGGCCCACGAAATCGCCAAAACACCGTTTAGGTCCAGCCCTGGGGGATAGAAAGCAAATCCACTCAAAACCCGTCCCGGGACCCCTGCAAGCCAGATCCCCCGAGATCCCACGGAAACGGCCCTGGAAGCCGAAAGAGGCAAAAACCAAACACAAAAGAAGCTTCATGGCTTCAAAAATATCAACCTTCCTTCCCCCCCATTCCTCCTGGCCCACCCCAACCCAACCCGAAGGGTTTGTCAATGGTCCCCGACGCCCCCCCCCGCTGGGAAGGGGCCTTCAGGTTGGGTTAAAGGAGGAGAAGGAGGAGGAGGAGGAGGAGGAGGAGGAGGAAGAGGAGGAGGAGGAGGAGGGGGAGGAGGAGAGGAGGAGGGAAGGAGGAGAGGAGGAGGAGGAGGAGGGAGGGAGGAGGCAGGAGGCAGAGAGATAGAGTGGAGAGGAGGGGGGGTAGAGTTAGGGCAGGAGGCAGGAGGCAGGGAGAGGAAGAGGAGGAGGCAAGGAGGAGGAGGCAGGAGGAGGAGAAGGGAGGAGGAGAAGGAGGAGCAGGAGGAGGAGGAGGAAGAAGGAGGAGGGAGGAGGAGAGGAGGAAGGAGGAGAAGGGAGGGAGGAGGAGGAGGAGGTGAGGAGGAGGAAGAGGAAGGAGGAGGAGGAAGGAGGAGGAGAAGAGAGGAGGAGGAGGAGGGGCAAATTGGGGCCCTTTGGGTTGGGTTGGGGTGGCTTGGTGGGTGGTGACCCCCCGCACGCTGCGCCTGGCCTGCTGCAGGGGAACACCTGTGTGCCGAGGGGCCCGTCCGGGATCTCGCGCACCTCCACCTCTTGGGCAGCAGCAGCAGCAGGAGCAGCAGGAGGGAGGAGGAGGAGGAGGAGGAGGAGGAGGAGGAGGAGGAAGGAATGGAGGAGGAGAGGGAGGAAAGGTAAAGAGGAGGAGAGGAGAAGAGTAGGAAGAAGAGATAGGAGAAGGAGAGAGTAGAGGAGGAGGAGAGGGAGGAGGAGAGGAAAGAGGAGGAGGAAAGAGGAGGAGGAGAGGAGGAGAGGAGGAGGAGGAGATGGGGAGGAGGAGGGAGGAGGAGGAGGAGGAGGGAGGAGGAGGGACGGCCTTTGAGATCCTGGCGCCCCAAAGTGTGTCACGCCCGGCGTGTTCGCCCAGGCTTCGAGCCCCGGGAGCCTCACGGATCGAGCCCGCCCGAAGAGTGTCGCAGAAGGATGGGGTCTATAGGGCCTCGACCGCGCTCTGTGCGGTGCTGCCTCTTTGCTTCGCCACGTCGGCGCTCCTCCTCCTTCTCCTTCTCCTCCTCCTCCTCCTCCTCCTCCTCCTGCTCCTCGCCTCCTCCTCCTCCTCCTCCTCACTCTCCTCCTCCTCCTCCTCCCCTCCTCCTCCTCCTCCTCCTCCTCCTCCTCCGCCTCCTCCTGATCCTCCTCCTCCTCCTCCTCCTCCGCCTCCTCCTCCTCCTCCTCCCTTCTCCTTCCCGCTTCTTCTCCTCCTCTTCTCCCCTCCGCCCCCTCCTCTCCCCACCTCCTACACCTCCGTCTCCTCCGCACTCCCTTCTTCTCCTCCACGGGTCCCCCGCCCCGGGGAAAAGAAAGCGCCGAGCCGCCCAGAAGAGCCCGGAAACGGCGACCGAGCTCGGGGCCGCTCCCCTGCAGACCCGTCTGCTGAGAAACAGAAGGCACCGATGCAGTCAAAACCCCGAATGAGGACGCGCGATTTTGCTCAGGGTACCCTTGCGTCCTTGCTCTTCCATGCTCTTGCGTCCTTGGGGTTTTCGTCGTCCGCTGCCCCAAGAATCCCAACGTCGGCTTCCAAGGGTCTGGCGTCCCTACCGCGCGTCCTTATTAGGGTTTTCGACTGCACCTCCACTCCCAGACTGCCAGACCCCCTCGGGTTGTGAAAGGATCACGGCGGAAGGCTTTGCGCCTTCTTCGGCCTCCCCAGGGGGCCCTTATGCAGGCCCTTGGGGCCCTCGCTCGCCGCCGGCCCTGGTGCGCGGCTTCAGGGGGGCCGCGAGGGGCCAGGCCCAAGCGCCGGGGCCAGAGCTCGCGGGGGAATCGGCGGGCTCGCACCAGAGACGTCGCTCCAGCGAGAGGCCACGCGCGGCCGGAGGCCCGCGCCAGGCCAGGCCCCACCCCCAGACCCAGACTGACTACCTACAGGCCACCCAAACCCAACCCGAAGACCCGAATTTCGGGTTGGGGGGGTACGGGCTTCATGTGTGTGTGTTTTTCCCATGTTCCCCCACCCCCCCCAACTGGAAATGGAGTGCAAATTGAGGCCTTCGGGTTGGGTTGGGGTGGTTTGGTGGGTGGTGACAGGCCCCCTCGAGCTGTGAAAAATTACGACGGAAGGCTTTTCGCTGTTCCCGGCCTGGGAGGGCCCTGCGTCGGGCCTCGGGGTCGTGCAACAACGGCGCAGGATGCAGGACCGGTCCCAGGGAAGGGGCCGAGAACTTTGGAGGTCGACGTCATGAAAAAATCATGGCGCCGGGGATCTGGGATCCGTGGCCTCTCCCAGGGAGCGTTCTTCGGGGATGGACAGACCCCCCTTTAGTAAAACGTGGTTTAGTGAAAACGACCAGAGGCCCAAACCTGGCGGGCGCAAGCCTGGAAAATGACAGCCACGGCGCCCTCTCGAGAACCGAAAACGGACAATTCACTAATCGACGTGTCACTGTTGGGGTTTCTGTCCACGCCCGAGTTCTGGCGAGGGTTCCGAGGCGAATCCGGCCGACGAGGGGAGGGCAGTGGTAACCCTGGGCATCCTCCGATCCCTGAGATCCTGGCGCTGCAATCTTTTCACAGCGGGTGTTTCCGCTCTATCTCGTGCCCTGGGACCCTCACAGATCGACCCGGCTCCAAACATGATGCAGACAGATGGGGGGTCGGGGGCTCTGGTCGTGTTTTTCGCGATGTCGCATGCTTGTTTGCAACATCGGATCCAGGGATATGATTATGTCAATCCGCAGCCCCGGAACTCCCGCCCCTTTGCCCGGAGCATCGTCTTGGCCCCATATCCATTCTTGAGGGCCCTGGGGCCCGATCACGGGGCCCCGGAGGCCGAAAAGGATGTAAAAAACGCCGGCTGAATAAAACACACCAACGGAGGTTTGGATATCGGTATCTTGGCGGCGCGCACACGGGGTAGGTGGAGGGGGAAGGCCTCTTAAAAGGAGGCTGCTTCCCAGAAGGCGCTGGCCTTACATCTATCGATAAGGCCCGCGCCTTCTACGAAGCAGGGGTACTCCTAAGAGGTCCTCCACCCTCCCCCATACCCCCCTCTGCGCGTGGCTGACTCTCTCCCTCCTCGCAGCGTGCTTCATGGCGAACCACCACCAGAACAAAAAAACTGCAACATCACTCAAAAAATCAACACTGGAGATCCAAACCCTTATTTCTGCATTATTTTTGAAGCCAGATCGATATGTGATGGTCCCAGGGCCCGAAGCCTGGCGAAAACGCCTGGTGTCAAAAAAATTGCAACGCCCGGATCTCACGGTTACCTCTCCCTCCGCACAGCGTGCTTCCTGGCGAACCTTTCGGTGTTGTCAGACGTGCCCCTGGCCCGAGGTGCCCCAATGTAGGATTTCCAAGGACCCAGGGCCTCCAGAGAACACCTCACGAGGCCCAGAGGGCCCCACGGACTCCACAACGGAGAAAAGCTGGGGGCACCTTGGGCCAGGGACACCTTTAGCAACACCCCCAAACCTGCGACGCCCTGGTTTTTGCTCGACACGCGGTCCCTCGAAGTCCCGATCCCTTCCCTGGGGCCAGCTCTTCATCCCGCGTCGTTTCTTGACGGTCCCAGGGCCCTGCGGGGCCGAACACGGCCAAAACACTCCCGCCCCCATGCTGCTGTGGCACGACGCGAGCACGTCTGCAAAGGCCTCCTAGATAGGGTCGGAGTAGATTTAAGTCGGGCCTGCCCCCCTACAGGCGGATTGTGAACAAAAAATAGAAATAGTCAAACAAATACCCCCACAATGCTCAAAAATTGTGTATATGTCTGTTTGTATATCAAAAAACAAAGCAAAAAAACAAAAAAAACAAAAAAAAAAACATATGCAGAAAAAAAAACACCCCAAAAAAAAAAAAGAAACAAAAAAATAATAAAAAATAAAAAAAAAAAAAACTGCAGCAGCAGCACAACAACAACAACAACAACAACAACAACAACAACAACTTCAACAACAACAACAACAACAACAACAACAACAACAACAACAACAACAACAACAACAACAACAACAACAACAACAACACCAACATCAACACCAACACCAACACCAACACCAACACCAACAACAACAACAACAACAACAACAACAACAACAACAACAACAACAGCAGCAGCAACAACAACAAGAACAATAACAACAACAACAACAACAAAACGTCCCTGAACTATTTTCAACTATTGTTGAATATTCCTTCTGTGGAGGACAGGCCCGACTTAAGAGTAGATGGGGTAGGAGGATCGCGCCGCATCGCCGATACATCGGCGATGCATCGGCGAAGCATCGGCGACGCGCCAGCGATGCAGCGTCGACGTGGGCGATGCATCGGCGAAGTCGACGCGAAGTAAATCGGGCTCCAGCATCGCCAGTGCACTGGCGATGCGGCGCGATCCTCCGACCCCATCTACTCCGACCCTATCTAGGAGGCCTGGAGTCTAGAGTCCCAGACCCCCGACGTCATGACTTTTCATTACGTCGACCTCCAAAAGTTCTCAACCCCTTCCCCCGGACCGGCTTCTCGTCCCGAGTCGTCCTTCGAAGGCCCCGAGGCCCGCACAAGGGCCCCCAGAGGCCGAAAATCGCGACGAGGCTGGGCCTCCCTGGGGTCTAGGGACCCAGACCCCCACCCCCGACATCCATGGAGTTCGTCCGGGCGTCGTCCCCTCCTGATTCTCGACACCATGCCAGGGGTCCGGTTTTCGTCCTGCGTCGGTTCGCCTCGGTCCGAGGAGCCTGCGGGGCCCCAAGGGCAGAAAAATAGCGAAAAACCGCCAGCCGAGGAGGAGGAAGAGATGAAAGAGGAGTAGAGGAAAGGAGGAGAGGAGGAGGAGGAGGAGGCGCGGGGCGCGCCTCCTGGCGAGCCTCGGCGCATCGGAGGCGGCCCGGGCGGCGCCTGGGGCGGCGCGCCGCCCTCCCGCGGCCGCAGGCCCCCGCGGCAGGGGCCGCCCGCGCGCCGGGCCCCGCGGGCCTCCGCGCCCGCCCGGGGCGCGGCGGAGGCCGGGCGCGGTGCCCCCGGGCGGCTCGGAGCCCGAGTCGGACTCCTGCGGGTCTCCCAGGCCTCCACCCGCCTCCTCCCTCCCCCCGTCGCCGCCTCCCCTGCTCCGCTCCCCCCCTCCGCCTCCGCCTTCCTCCCCTCCTCCCCCTCCCCCCTCCTCCTCCTCCTCCGCCCGCCTCCTCCTCCTCCGCCTCCTCCTCCGCCTCCTCCTCCTCCTCCTCCTCCCCCTCCTCCTCCTCCTCCTCCTCCTCCTCATCCTCATCCTCCTCCTACTCGCCGGGAGGCTTTTCGCTATTTTCTGCCCCTGGGGGCCCTCGCAGGGCCCCAGGACCGTCAGCAAACGACGCAGGACAAAAAACCGGTCCCCTGGAATGGGTCGAGAACTCAAGGGGTCGACGCAACGAAGAAATCATGACGTCGGGGGTCTGGGTACCCAGACCCCCTCGAGTCATGAGAAAAGCACGGCGGGAGGTTTTTCACTATTTTCATCCCCTGGGGTCCCTTATTCGGGACTCGGGGCCGTCAGGAAACGACGCAGGACGAAAAACGGTCCTGGTGGATGGGCCTGGACCCCTGGGGGTCGCGTCATG